AGTTTTGCAAGATGGAAAAATTCTGGAGCTTGGTTGCACCACAGTGTGAGTAAACTCAGTACTGAACTCTACACTCAAGAATGGTTAAGATGGTCAGTTTTATGTTTTCTGTATTTCACCACGATTAAGAATTTTAAAACATATAGTCATGATCCACAAAAACAAAAAAAGATTCTAGGACTGGCCCTCATTATTGTCATTATTATTAAAGTGTTCTTCTTTCTTTATGGCTTTTACCATCACCCTTTATGTGTAAGTGATCATGATCTTTTATTTCTATTCCTAATCATAACCCCTACCTTAAACCAACATGGTGTCAGTTTAATGTAAAATACCTTTGTTGTATGTGATCCGTTTTAGGCTCTAGACTCCTGTAATACCCTCCATAGAAAACAAGCTGGATAGGAGGCCTTTGTAGGAAACAACAAATCATTATGAAGATACTTGAAATTTGAATAACAAATTTGAAAACACTGTAATTTACACATTATAAGGAGGACAAAAATGATTGACTACAGGTTGTGTATGTCTTATTTTTAGTTTTTAAATAGATAGGCTGTTGATGTACATTTTTGTCACTAAAACCTTGAGGACATGACTATGTCAACATAGATAAAGCCAAAAATCCAGAATTGTCCATTGAAAGCTGTCATTTGTGTGATTTGCTATATGGAATAAATTGGGTGTTTTAGCATCTTCTGGAACTAATTACACTATGTAGTTGGAAAAAAAGACCCAATGATAAAAGTTTTTCCCATTAGAAAAGCTTGAGGTAAGTTTTCAGTTTGTTTGTTTGTTTGTTTGTTTGTTTTTGAAGAAATAACAGGATTGAACCTTTAGAACACCTATGAGAAATGATTACACAGCTTTACAGATTTCTAGTATTCAGACTGAAGTGCAGAATCTTCTAAGGGGGTGACCAAGGACAAGACCCCATCCAGAATCACTGGGAACCAGACTTCATTCCATGATGGTGTCCTGTTGAAACATGCTTCAGAAAGATACAGAGTGAGGGCCCCACGTGACTGTTTATCCTAAGTATGACTAGATGTTTAAACCTTTGCTACCAGAATTGTGCACTGTAATGTAAAAATCTCTGTTTAACATAAAGAGCCTTAATTGGCAGTATTCGTAGTTTCATTGCCTTGTATCACCAGGATTACTGTGAAATATGTATCTTGTATAAGATTAATTTAGATTAAAATCTCGAGGAGCTAATTTAAAAGTATGTCTCACAATACTATAAACTGAGATCGAACAGATAATAAACTTAAGTAAAGAATCCTTTGAAATGTCTTTGATCCAAGCACTTCTTGTGATTCTGAAGGAAAGGTGTTTTTCCTGCCTTGTTTAGTGTTACAGTTTTAGTCGTTCATATCATTCTCAGGAATTGGGACCATGTCTTATTCTTCTTTGTGATTGGAGTCCCTGACATAGCGGAGTATATTTTCCCTTCGAGATTAGGTGTTCCAGTGAATGACGGTTAAAGATTGAGGAGGGTTCCCACATAACGCTTATTATAAGTCTATAACGTGCATCACCCTACCTCACAGTTGAATTACTGAAGATAATGAGACTTGGGCAAAAAATTTATAAATCTTTTAATTTAAAGCTCACATAGTTCCCCTGGATATTGTAGGGCAACTGTAGCTGGATATTGTAGGTTTAAAAGAAAACCCTGGTTGCTCACCAAAAAAAATTTTAAAATAGCCTAATAAAAATCTAAAGAATGGTAATCCTTATGTAAAATCAACTTCCCATACATCTATAAGCATCATTTACATGGAATCAGCGTTAGTGCACGTATATGGCTTGGCACTCTTAAACCGTGCTGGTTGTAATAGATACAATGGTGACAAGTCATTTTAATGTACCCCAGCCTTTAAATGAAGGGGAACTAGATTCTCAGTATAAGTTCCAAAATAAGGCAACTAAAACCAAATAATAATGATGATGGCATATCCCAGGGAGGAAAACCATGCAGCTGTTAAAAATCATGTTGCATTAAAAAAAAAAAAAAAGATATATAGTAGAAGAATTTTGTTGGCGTGGCAAAAATATTCATAATGAATCGTTAAGTGTTTTTAAAACAACCACAAAATGATGTGTACAGAATAATAATCACTTTTATTTATAAATACAAGTGTATATTAATATTCTTTATATGTGCTATATGTTATATATATTTATATATGTAAATACAATATACTTATGCTTACAAATATAGCAACGTTTGTAATTTTTGAAAGACCAGAAAGACAAAAATTATTTAACAGTGAAGTTTTCTCTGTTCTCTGAGTGGTAGGATTTTGAGTGATTTCTGTTCTTCCTCTGGTTTTTTTTAAAAATATTTTATTTATTTATTTATTTATTTATTTATTTATTTATTTATTTGAGAGAACGTGCACTCACACGTGAGCGGGGGCGGGGGGGGACAAGCATACTGCGCGCTGCCATCTCATGACCCAGAGATCGTGGCCTGAGCCAAAATCAAGAGTTAGACGCTTAACCAACTGAGCCACCCAGGCGCCACCTTCCTCTGGATTTTTAAAAATTTTTGTAAGTTTCTGCATTAAGCATGTACCAGTTTAATAAGAAAGACGTAGTATGTCCTATATAAATAAATACCGAAATAAAAGCAACACACACTTTTTTTTTTTACTCTGGTTCAGGTTTTTTATAAACTTTAGATGGGCTTTTTTATTAATTCAAATTTTAACATTTTTATTCTGCTAATTGTCTGCTTAAAGCATCTGAACACTGAAAAATGAACCAAACAGATTTATTCTTTTTTTTAAAGATTTTTTATTTATTTATTTGAGAGAGAGAGAATGAGAGAGAGCACGAGAGGGAAGAGGGTCAGAGGAAGAAGCAGACTCCCCGCTGAGCAGGGAGCCCAATGCGGGACTCGATCCCGGGACTCCAGGATCATGACCTGAGCCGAAGGCAGTCGCTTAACCAACTGAGCCACCCAGGCGCCCG